CGGGGCGGGGTCCCGGGGCCACGCCGGGGCGCCTCGGGCGACTCTTCATCCCCGCAGCCGGCCGCTGCCCCTGCAGAGGGGCTCCCAGCCGGCGCGGAGAGTCCTGCGATCCGCTTCCCTTGACCATTCGTCTTCAACACGTTCGCTTTGAGCCCAAAAAAGTCCACTTTTATGGTTTTCTGCAACGGTTAGGGCACGTTCTGGTAAATTGCAGAACTGCAGAAGAACTTTGGCTTAAACGCCGCCGTCTATAAAATCTGCTCTGGTAAGGGACGTACACGAGGCGTAAGTTAGAAATTCCAGGTTTGGGGAATCTGGATGGTGAGTCCAGCCCGGGAGGAGCCGCCCCGTGGCCCCGGGCTTCTCCTGGCCCTGGGTTGGGGCTTTGACCTTCTGGCACCAATGATTCTAGCTTGACTCTAGCCCGCCCCTCCCAGATTCTGAGTCTTCACAAAGGGACACAGAGCAGCTGAAATACGGGGGGGCCTGGGCGCAACTGATGGCACAAACCAACGTCTTTGCCAGGATTTGGCTTGGGATCCTGGCCCAGTGGTTCTTGGGCTCATTAACTCATCTGTCTGTATGTCTCCCATTCGTTGGGCCTTGGCTTTAAAAGATACAATGTAGGCCGGACTCGGTGGCTCAGCCTGTTATCCCAGCACGTTGGGAGGCCGAGGCGAGTGGATTGCCTGAGCCTGCGGGTTCGAGACGCGCCCGGGCAACTTGGTGAGACCTGGTCTCTACAACAAATCAAAAACTAGCCGGGCGTGGTAGCGCGCGCCTGTAGTTCCAGCTCCTTGGAAGGCTGAGACAGAAGGATCGCCAGAGCCCAGCAGGTCCAGGCTGGGCGACAGAGTGAGACTCCAACTCAAAAAAAAAAAAAAGAAAAAGAAACCCGAATCCTGTTGTGCGTTTGTCATGTTGTCTGCCCAGGTGGAAGGAGCAGAAAGGAGTCGCACAGGCAGCAGGTCTGTGGTGCCTCCACCTCTCTGCATTTGTTGCTTCTGTATTCCACTCGGAAGACGCCCAGGCGCCATTCTCACCTGTTCAAGCACTCTCCCTCCTGGCAGAACTGCGGGCACGTGTAGGGGTGTGGAAGGTGTTGTAGGCAGCACTGCCGCAGGGCAGCATGGAGAACGTGGCAGCGGCAACCACAAAGTCCTTTAGGGTTGATCAGCCAGGTGTAGTGGCTCAAGCCTGGCATCCCAGCCCTTTGGGAGGCAGAGGCGAGAGGGTTGCCTGAGACCACAGGTGGGTTTGAGACCAGCCTGGGCAATTTGGTGAGACCTTGTCTCTACAATAAACCAAAACAAAATAGCTGGGTGTGGTGGTGCATGCCTATAGTTCCAGTTACTTGGAAGGCTGATGTGGAAGGATCGCCTGAGCCCAGCAGGTTGATGCCCCTGTGGCCATGAGCATGCCACTGCACTCTAGCCTAGGTGACAGAGTGAGACTCCAACTCAAAAAAAAAAAAAGGGTCAGTCAAGGCAGCAGCTTGAGTGGAGACCCAGAAAACTTGCGTTTCACTAACAACTTTATTTGCAAATGAATTAAAATTTCGGGGGACTGTTTCTAGCCCCCCCAATAGTCCTTAATCTACTTCAAAAAGAAATGGAATGCTCCCATGCCCCCCACTTCCATCCATTTAAGGCCTCACGAGAAGCACAAGTGGTGTTTCCAGCCCGCCCACGTCTGTGCCTTGGCTCTTGTCAGCAATGTGAAGCTGGCCAAGTCATCTGACCTCTCTGTACCTGAGTCTGCTCATCTGTAAAGCAGGAACACCAACAGCACTGTGTAAGGATGAAATAAGTGAACATGCAGGTAAATCTTGGAGTTCAGTACGAGGCACGGGCTAAGAGCCATGTAAGTGGGAACTTGTCACCACTGCCCAGAATACACACTCTAGTTGCAGACAGGCCATGGTTCCCATAAAGGGCAGGGGACGCCTCTGGACACGGCTGGGGCTTGGTAGCTCCAGGTTCTCAGAGGACCCTGGTTCATCCCCATAGATGGTCATCTCTGCTCCTTCCTTCTCTCTCCACAAGGCAGAAATGGATTCCAGGCCCCAGTGCTCCACACGATCTGTGTACAGCCCTGCGGTTTTCAGAAACTCAGCTCAGTCAGGCCTGGGCTCAAATCGGACCGGGGCTGGGGGTG